GAAGTTCTAGAGGGGTGACAGATCACAGAACATAGGATATTCTCACAAAGTTCAGCAAGACCAAGCACAAGGTCCTACCCCTGCAGTTTTTCACCAGCAGCTGCTCTTCAGCCCACAGCCCTCCTCCCATGTCTGCAGCTCCCTGTGGAAGGCCAGAGGTGATCTCAGAGTCTGGCCCGGGGTGATTTTGCTCCTTTGCCATTTTGAGCCTGTGCCAGGGAGCAGCTGAGCAAAGCAGCTCATCCAGCCCGGGGGCTGAGCGACCAGTGTAGCAGCAGCAAACACACACAGGGAGGAAATCCCCCTCTGCTGAGGAGTCCAGCTTGCTAGAAGATACCTTCCACCACTGGCAAGTAGCTTATCTCCCCTGTGCAGGACAGAGGGGTTTGCATTGATGCCTCTCCAGCACAGACCTCAAGCAGGGGGGCTGAGTCACTTCCAGCTGCATTCCTGATGGACCACTGGCAGGTCCTAGTAGCTGCTCATCATTTGTAGTTACTTGTTTCTTCTGAAGTGGCTAACAGCTGGAGCTCTATGGCTTGGTCTTCTGTCAGTTTCAGAGCTTCTTACCCCAAAGTACCTGTGCATCAGCTGAAGGTGCCATCCCTGTCACAGGGGCCTCCAGCCCTTCCCTTTCAGCTGCTCCTGTACTGACCAGATCCAGCTGCTGCTTGCTCAGGATTTTGCCTGGCTATGCAGGAGTGGTTTGTTTTACCCTGCAGAGGCCATGGATTGATCTTTCTGTCTGACATACACATCCCTGATCCCACCTTCCTGGGGAATTTGTCTTTGAAGGATTCTTGAAAGTAACCAGGCAGCTGAACAATCTCCCCTACGAAACAGAGGGGGAACCTGAATTTGCTCAGATACTTTCTCCTCCCCCTTGGTAAGAATTTCTAGGAGCACTTAAGGATATTTTACACCTTGTAAATTAAGTGTTGTTTCCAGTGTGAGCAGCTGAAGTTCTCTTGCTCTCCCCTGGCTGGTGAGGGCAGCAGCTTTTGTCTCCTGCACTGAGAAAGTGATGCTGCCCTCACCTTGGAGATGGCCAGAGCCAGGCCGAGTCAAAGAGAAGCAAGGAGTGTTTACATACTTGGCAAGAGCAGGCAGGGGGCAGGGGCAGGGCTGGCAGAAGGTGGGCACTCCTTGGTCAAGGTCGCCGATGAAGCCGTCGGGACACAGCTCACAGTGCTGCCCTGTGGTGTTTCTCTGGCAGCCCTGCAGGGAGAGAGAGCAGGACAGGTGAGCAGGGGAGGTTCTCCTCCGGTGGGGAGACGTTACTGACTGAGTCACAGCATCACCAAGGCTGGAAAAGCCCTTTAGGATCATCCAGCCCAGCCTGTGACCAACACCCCCACATCTCCAGACCTTGAGCCACCTCCAGCCTTTCCTTGAGCACCTCCAGGGATGGTGCCTCCACCATGTCCCTGGGCAGCCCATCCCAAGGTCTGGTCACCCTTCCCATGAGGAAGTGCTTCCTGATATTCAGCCTAAACCTCCCCTGGAGCAGCTTCAAGCCAGGCCCTCTTGTCTTGTTGCTGTTTGCCTGGAAAAAGAGCCCAACCCCACCTGACTGAACCTCCCTTCAGGTACTTGAAGAGAGTGGGAACGTCCCCCCTGAGTCTCCTCTTCTCCAGGCTGAACAACCCCAGCTCCCTCAGCCTCTCCCTGAAGACCCAGACAAGTAGAACAGGCTCAGGTGCCAGACCCTGGCCCCTCAGGGCATGGACAAAGCCAAACCAGTGGGCACTGCTGCAAGTTCAGGTGCTGGGCAGGTGCAGGGGGACGGGCAGACACAGGTGCCTGCCGGGTGCTGGAGCTGAAGCAGCAGTGCCTGTGGTCAGAGATGTCCAGGGGGCTCAGGTGTAGCTATCAGCTCGTGCTTTGAACTGCATCTGCCACGAGGTAAAAAAACCCTCTTCTTACACCAAAACAAAATGAAAAATGCCTGCTGGTAAATGCTGTCATCAGATTTCAGTCCAGGTACAGGTCTCAGCAAGGCTGCTTCTTGGACTTGATGGCTGAGGCAGAATACCAGGAGAATCTGGCTGTCATGCAGGGGGTTGGAACTGGATGATCTTGAAGGTCCCTTCCCACCCAAACCAGTCTGTGTTCTATGAGTCTATGATCTTTTTCATCTTTGAGGTTTATGATTTCAAGCCTTCTCTCTTCAGGCACAGGATGAGATGCAGTGCTGGCCTTCAGAACTTCATTTGGAAGGAGATGAAGCACTAAGAGGAAACACTAAGTATTGTGCAACTTCTACTGAAGTCAAATCAACTGTCAACCTAAAATAATGAGAACAGCAGCAAAACTTGGTTTCTGGTGCAGTTTGGGTCAAGCTACCTCTCCATGTCAAAGCTTTGATTTGTAGAACTTGCCCTGTATTAAGGAGTGAAGTGGGAGCTGATGTCTTGCCAAAACCACCTGGCCTGCTGCTTCCTCTGTCCATCACTTGTCTCAGCTACCTGTGGGAAGTGTGACTGAGCAGGGGGAGCCCTGGCAGCCCTTCCTTGCAGTCTTGGCCTGACTTCCTACGTGCCTCTGACAGCCCCTGCACAGGGGATGGACACGAAGTGGTGACAGGCTGGGACTAGGAGGGAGGGAAGTATCTTTATATTAGAAAATGAGTCTATTAAGAGTAATGCTTTGGACAGCTACTGCACACCAAAGCACCCTGCAGAGGAGCAAGGCTGCATTTCAGCACCAGCCAGTTGCAGTTCTGGGTGGCTTTCTCATCAGGCTCACATATAGATGTAGTCCTTCTCTACAAAAGGCAACAGGGAGCTGTGAGCTGAGGGCTCTTTGTGAAGCCAGAAGTACCTAACAAGCTGGAGAGCTTTGATAGCTCCCTGCTGCTCTGTGCTCGTGCCTGGTGGATGGTTGTAGATCTGCTGGCAATTCTCCAGCCCTGCCTTGGCAATCATGTGGAACATGCTATCCTTTTGGGCAGAACTGCCAACTCCCTTCCAGCCTTTCCACTCAGCTGCAAACCCAAATACTTGAGCACAAATCACTTACACAACAATATGCTCGGGTGTAAAAAAAATTCCATAAAAGGCTGGAAAGGATTCCAGCAAATTTATCCTCTCTACTGTTACCATCCTTTGGCCTTTCTTCTTCCAGAAAGGACATGCACTGTATTTATTTGTTTGTTTCTTTGTTTTTGAGTAATCTTTTGATGCCTTATATATATGCTGATCAAATATGCAGGACTGAGATGAAAACACAACACTTTTTACGTAGGTACCAAGTAATTTACCCTCCACGTTCTGCTAAAGTGCTCTCTCCAGAGTTCTTCTGCTCTGTGTGTTTTCATGCCTTTATGAAGATAAAACCTCCATTAAAGAGGTTCAAGGGGGACAGTGATTTACTTGAGAGAGTCCAAGGGAGGCTGTGAGGATGATGAAGGGACTGGAACATCTGTCTGATGAGGAAAGGCTGAGACACCTGGGGCTGTTCAGTCTAGAGAAGAGAAAACTGAGAGGGGATCTAATTAATGTCTGTAACTACCTGCAGGGGGGGTGTCAGGAATGGGTCAGTCTCTGCTCAGTGGTGCCTGTGACAGGACAGGGGGCAATGGATGCACATAACATTAGTAAGAACTTCTTCACTGTGAGAGTGACAGGGCTCTGGGACAGGCTGCCCAGAGAGGTTGTGGAGTCTCCTTCTCTGGAGACATTCAAACCCCCTCTACATGTTTTCCTGTGTGACCTGCCCTAGGTTCTGTGGTGGTCCTGCTCTGGCAGGGAGGTTGGAGTCAATGATCTCCAGAGGTGCCTTCTGACACCCACCATTCTGTGATCTGTGATTAACAGTAGAAACTGCAGGAAGGACTCTGAGAACAAAGCCCTCCCCCCAGTTTGTCTGGATATCCAGCTCTGTCAGTTTTAAATCCTTTCAGACTTTCAACCCATTTGACTGTGTTCCTCTGGAGTCAGTGCAATCACATTTTTTGGCCCACATGGAGCCTTGCCCATTAATACTCCCTCATTGCTTTAGACAACCTGTTCCACCTCCACGTGCCACTCATTTCACAGTTTGACCATCACAGCCACCCTGACATTCTTCTCAGCTGTCAAGTGACCCGAAGCCCATTCCCAGGTCTTAATCTGAAAATGCTGAACCCTCAGTGGAGGTGCTGCAAGAACCAGCTCAGCTGGGGGCTCTGGCTGGGTGGGCTCGGGGGGATGGTGGAAAAGGAAAACATCCCTTCTCTACCTTCATATCTTATGAGCAGCAAACCCCAGTGGGCTTCATGCAGGGGACATGCACACCAGCAGCTGCACATTGCCCCTGGCAGCTCCTGCAGTTCCACCCCCTTAGTGTCACAGGGACACAAATCAAAAGCTAGAGGGTCCTACAAATTATTCCCTATTTTTTTTTTAATATTTTTTTTTCCTCTCTTTGCTAGGATTGAGGAAGTTAAGTTAAAAGTCAGAAGTCTAAAATCAGTAGAAGGAATTGGTGTTTGATCCTCTGCTGGCATCCCATCATCAGCAGGTAGTGTCTGTGAGATGAGCATCGTTTGCCATGGTGGGTGGATCCTGGATGGAGCTGAGCCTGTGCTGGCTGCTCTGCTGGCACTTGGCTGATTCTCTGCAGAAACAGCATGGGCTGAGTGGCTCTGCAAGTTTGAATCACAGGGCCATGGCATTGGCTTCTGCACCAGTTTTATGTGGCCATCTCTGCAGGAAAGGCTCTGTCTGCAACGATTTCTTCTCTCTGCTTACCTAATGAGGTTGTTGAGTCGTTGACTGTATCGTTCAAAAAGCTTTTAAAGGCTTGTGGATTTGATTTGCACTGGGAGAACTTCTGCAACAGAACCCTAAGCCAGATACTTCTGTCAGCAGAAATTAAGGACATGAGCACTTTACCCTAAGGCATCGCTAATAGGGGCTTAATTTTATTTGATTTCAAACTCAGGGCAGAGGCCAATGAGAATTTCATTAATTTTTATGCTGTGGGAACTACATTTGCCAGATTGATTTGGGAGATTTGCATAATATGTTGGTCTTAGAGCATTGTATGGAGTCTGGCCCTTACATTTCATCCCTTTTGAAGTACTTTTTCATCTTTATGCTGCCCTGTACATTTATTAATTTTTTTATAGCTTAGTTATTATTTAAACTGCAAAAAAGGATTATCTGCCAACTGAACACAGTGTGGTTACTACTTTCATGTTGTCTTCTGTCATTGGTATCAAAGTTAACTTTAAAAAATCACTTTCATGATTAATTCATTCCATTGTGTGAATAAGGCCAGACATAGGAAATGTTAACTTTGGTGAACATCAGTTCTTTTAAAGATCTCCTGCTGAGGACATTCCACAACATCTGTGACCTGTGGATGGTGCAACGTGGTGCCAGGGGAGAGTCCAGCAGGGATAAAACTTGAGAACACCTAAAGCTACCCCTCAGAAACAGGGACACAGCAGGTTTGTGCTGACAGGAGTGGAGGATGACAACACTAATAATATGGGATAAATAAGATCAATACAGAATATGTGTATTTATTTTGTTTAACAGCCTGTTAAACAACTAACTGAGTGCAGAAAGTCATGTCTTACTACTAGGGGGGAGTCATTTGCCTAAATTGATGGCAGAGAAAATAATGAGCTCCCAAAGCCATGAGGCCCTGTCTTGCTGTCTGTGCTCAGAAGGACCTGGCCATACAGGTACCTGCTGCTCAGCCCTCAGCAGGCTGTGAGCAGATCCACTGCCCTGCCTCTCCAGAAGGGCCCTGAGGGAAGGCTGCTTTGTCCTCTGCTTCCAATACGATCCCATAATCAACCATCCAGCCTCCTTTTCCCTAATTACTTGTGTTCATTCATCTAACAAGCTTCTCCCTGCTGTCGTTGAAGTTACACCTTTCTTTCTCTAAGCTTTTCTGCTCCCAGGCTTCCTCAGTCTCATTTTGCAGTTTATCCATTTCATTGGGTTTCCAGTCTTCCCTGGACATCTCTGCATCCTCAGGGAAGTGTTGTTACTGCAGCACCCAAGGGCATCTCTGGTTTTGTTTCATGCTACTAGACCTTTCATACCCCTTTTAATCCTGGACTTTCCTTTCACCACCCTCTTTCCCCCTTCCTTTTACTCTTATTTTACTTCAGCCTTTTTGCTTTTCCTCTTTATTCAGAAGTAAATGTCCTGAGTTGATGGTTTCTGAAATCACTCAGACAAGCCATCAAATGGCCTGTTTGAACTCAAGCAGCAAACTGGGGCTTAGCTCTTGGTTTTCTTCTTTGCTCCCTGATCGATTCCAAGAGTTTAACAGGCCAGAGAAACATTAGTCAGGAATGCAGATATTCTTTCTGATTAT